TGATGAAATTCACCTACATGAGAAGCAAAGTAAATAATCGGTCATCAACATAGAATGATGTTGAGAGTGTGGAATTAAGTAACCCTCCAAAAATCTTATTACATATGATCCAATCGAAAATGTCAGAAAATCTTTATCAAAATTATAGAATTCATAGAACAATCATTAATCATAAACTTGAAATCGATCATAAGAAATCGAAGGTTATTCTAGTCAAATATATGTATGTGTATATCAGACAATAATTGCATCACAGTGTGATGTACAAAAGTCAATGCAAAGATAAACAAATCTCATCCATTCATTCAACACAATAACAATAATAATAATAATTTGACTTGATTGTTCAGTGTGTATTTCTCTACAAATGTTGTTTTGATTCGCCTTTAGTTTGATTGGAATGTGTTGTGTTGTCTGTGAATTTTGCGTGTGTTTATGTGTAACATTCTTGTCAGAATGTCAACGTTCAATAATTACAGCATAGATTTAGTGTGAAAATATATTTGATTTGTACAAATTCCTATTGTAATACAAACTTATATTTTCAAAATTTCTATTTAACACTGTCAGGAATCTGGCAACCCAAAAATGCTGGTGGTCTTCTAGCGTGAGGCTTTAGTGGTGATCGAGTATAGATTGAATATGATCACCACCAAATACTAATTACCAGCCGGTCACAGTTAATAAAAATAAATCCAGGGTGAAGAATCTATCTGCTGATGATTTCGTGGTGTCGAAAGAACATCGAATTTACAACAGTAAAGTGGGCGACATAAAGAGGAACATGTAACTAATGATGGCAGCAACACAAAACGGAAAGTTGCACGTACGTAAGTGTTTTTTTTTAGTACAGTTAAACAAAAGGAGTACAATAATAAATGTGTCCTTTTCACCAATCGCCTTTTCTTCGTAGAAGTATTCCACTACAAGGCGTACAGTGAGAGGTGAGCCGATTGGAAGAAAATGATGAGTAACCTCATCTAACATTTTTTCATGCTAGTTGAAACTCATAAAAACAGTCTCAAAGACAACTTAAAGCTCCCCCCGCCGTATGATAAAAACGGTCTTACAAACTGGTACAAGACATCAAAAGTCACTGAAATCTCACCGCACCAGGCCATTTTGGAGGTAGATATGAGAATTGTTCGTTCAAACGAAATAAGAAATCAAAGGAACTATAAAACTTAAGTCGTTGTTTTATAGTGAATTATTTTATAAATTCTTCTGTTTTCGGTGATAAATATCAATCGAGTAGTCAATCAATGATTTTATTCATATAAGTATTCGTTGTCAGTGACTTTTAAACGTTGTATACTGTTTGAATGATTTCAGTTAATCAAACTACATATCGGATGCAGTATTAATAATCAAGTACATTTAACATATGAGAATTGATTGGTAAATAATATTCTTGTCTAGAGCGGTTAAGAAAGATGGAAATCACAGTGACGGTATCGATTAATTAATGAAAGCTGTAGATTTATTTATCATTGATGTAGATAACTGGACAACAACATCATTCATTTGTATGTTCTAAATGAATTGAAATCATTTTACTAGTTTCCACTTAAGCCGATCATCCCTTAGTGGAGAGCATAGGCTTCCGACCAGTATTCTCCAACATACTCTGTCGTTGGTCCTCTATTCTAGTTCTTCCCAATTGCTGTTCATTTTTTTTTATGTCTGTTCCCGTTTCTAGGTGTGGATGTGTTATTTAGTCGTTCTCTTTTCTTTTGCCTTGAGGATTCCAAGTGAGGGCTTGGCTTGTGACGTAGTTGGGTGCTTTCCTAAACATGTATCCTATCCAAAATTATCGCTTCTTCCTCTGCTGTAATCTGCCTTGTACTTTAATTAAATAATGTTGATAAACACATGCGCCTATAGGATGATGGATTCTGTGGTCCTGCAAGTTTCCGCCCCACATAACAGGACTGTTTTGACTTTCGTATTAGCCGATGATTATTTTGAGTTCCAGATGATCTTGTTCTTGCTTTGCTAATCCGCAACTTCACATCAGCATCAGATTCACCTTGCTCATTCATCAATGATGCTGCCTAGGTATATTAAAGATTTCTACATCTTCCAATTAATTAATTAATTAAAACTAGTCAGTCAGTTATAAAAGAATATAGAACCTAGTAAATATGTGCAACAGTTCAAATTATCATATTACATCAGTTCAGAAAAATGAAATGATTTTCAGAAAAACGTCAGAATGATCCATACTTTTGCTACTTAACGCTTCTGTAGTGTGAATACTAATATGCTGAACCCACATGACTGTCCAAGTTTATTTGCGTGCGTGTGTATGTGCATTGCTTACTTCACTTAGTACATGTGTAGCCTATTTTTGTCTGACTATAAATACTCATCACATTGAGTTGGCTCACTTGGCTTCTTCAATTTGCTTTGCTTTGCTTTGCTTGTACACTTTCTATTCTCATGTCCGCCTATGTATGAATCCGTATTTTGGCTTCTTATTACCACCGTAGCCAAACAAATGGGATTAAACTAAATAGGATATAAAGAGAAATGGAAAGGGAGATTTATTTGATAGCATATACAATTCTTCGTAAACATTGGAGTAGTCATATCGCGAGCCACCAAAACTCCTTATGATTTTTGAGTAAACTTTCCCTATCAATCAACATATAGCTTGTCTCAGAATTTAGAGGGATGTAGTCTCAAGCGTCTATCAATTTAGTAGACAGCACAAAAACTCTTTTAATGTTACGTAAGATTTCAGTTTCAGTCAATAGTCAGTTACAATGTACAACTTTGTATGTACGTACATCACTTCAAGTTGCCGTACCACATTAACATACAGAGATTAAATGGTCAATTTAAATCCCATAGTAGCAGTGTAGTGAAGGAGAACACAGGTGAGGGCAACCGAATTGTATTTTTAACGAAAATTACAGAGTTACTCAGTAAAATAGGAAAACCATATCGTAAACGGTTAATTTGCGAATCTTCAATCCATCATCAATCCATTGTCTGACATTTATTTCACTATTCATGCGTTTCATACAAATTCCATTGTGTTCCCACTCTTCCTTTCTTGATCTTCCCCCATCTTCTGCTGCTAGACATTACGTTTTCACTCGCGTCATATACTACTTATAAGTAGCGCGCACCACAGCAGAAGTAGTAGCAGAAGTAATAGCACTTATCAAAATGAGGGTATTATTCAAGAAGTATAATTCAGTGAAATAAAGGTGATGAAGAATCCAGAGGATTATGATTTGAAGGGAGCCAAAGAATGGACTCACTCGCACTGGTATTGTTTGAATATCACTTTATACTTCATCGGGAGAATATCACATTCGTAACTAACTTAGTAGATCACTAGTTATTTTTGAAATATATTCTTGAGTTCTTAATTCCATCAATAAACTAAACTTACATAAGTCTTTCTTTCACTCATTGTTTCTGTGTTCGATAAGGTGTAGGCAAACGCATTAAAGTTTCATTGAAGTCTAACTATATTGTTCAAAAACAAATAGGTATCATTCTATTGAACTCTTTTTGACAATGTCTTATGATGGTATAGTTTGTTTGTCAGTCAGTCAGTCAGTTACAACATAGAACTTCGTACGTACGTACGTACATTAGTTCAACATGCCATATCACATTAGCACACAGAAATCCATAGAAGTAGAGGTAGTAGAAGTATTAGCGGTCATCAAAAAGATTAGTGATCTAAGATATCATTTGAGAAGCATATCCCAGAAGAATCGATATTAAAAAAGGGAGAAATATAGAAGAAACATTCATGAGGAATTCAGAGAGCAAAGCACACAAAGAATGGATTCACCAGCACCATAGCAAACAATTTTGAGTCATATCATTCAAGGTCTCCAACCTTCGATTACTATCATCTTGCGGGCACCAACCAGGTAGTCTACACTTATCAACATGACTCAGTGCACTTGTCAGTGACTTCACGGATTCATCATCCTCATCATCAACAGCAAAGTAGAACTTTGCACGTAAGTACATCAGTTCAACTTGCCATAACACATTAGCACTGAGTTATAATTGTCAATTTAAATCCCATATTAGTAGAGGTAGTAAAAGTATTAGAAGTAATCGGAGACATCAAGGTTTGAAGATGTTATTCAAAAAGTATAATTCAGTGAAGTACATTTATAAAGAGAAAGATAGAGATTATGAGGAATTCAGAAGGTTAGAATTTTATAGAACACAAAGAGTAAATGCACCTGCTCCATTGCAAATGATTCTGAGCTAGGTTATTCAGGGTCTCTAACCATCCGCCCTCATACCCATAAAAGCACACGAGACTTCATGGATTTGTGTCATGTTTTGGTTTAGCCGTTACCTAGCTTTCTTCCAACCTACTCCTAAGCCACGAAGCATCACTCGTCGAGGCAGTCACACTGACAAGTGGGCTAAGTCATGTTGGTAGATGTAGGCTATCTGGTTGGCGTCAGCGAGACGATGGTAACCGATGATTAAAGACCTTGAACGACATGGCTCAAAATCGTTTGCAATGGCGCAGGTGCATCCATTCGTTGTGCTCTCTCAAACTCTAACCTTCTGAATTCCTCGTAATCTCTATTTTTCTCCTTCTAAATTCATCTTACTGAATTATACACTTTTCGAATCATATCTTCGCTCTCTAATCTTCTCCATTACTGCTAATACATCTACTATCGCTATCACTCTTGAATTTGAACTGAGAGTTGCATCTCTGTGTTGATGCGGTATGGCAACCTGAACTGATATACTTACGTATGAAGCTCTGCGTTGTACCTGTCTGGTCGAGGCAGTCGGTGGTTAGGCATACATACATAACACATGTCTTAACCACTTCAACTGATGAAGTTTCACTACTTCATCTCTTGATCTACCATCCTTACCTAGTACTCGTTTCCCTAATAACAGCATTGTTTTACTCCTAAACACACACAGAGACACAGACACACACGCACACATACTTACAATATATCAGTATAAAATATAATACAACAACTAGGTGTAAAGTACAACAGTTTATTTATATACAGACACAAATACAACAACATCATGAATAGAGAATAGTTACATTCACATCAATCATTGCTTGGACATATCATCACCACCACCACCGATCGATGCCATCTTCAAATGTTTCTGATGACGATGACGATGACTATCAACATGATCAATATCATCATGGTCATCATCATCATCATCATCATCATCATCAGCATCCTCGTCCTCATTAGTATCGATTAGTAAATGTGAATAAATCTCTTCATAAAATTTAATATCTTGTTTATTAAATAAAATATGATTTGGTATAGTTGGATTATCATCAATTGAATGATTATTTTTTGAAGAAGATAAATTATTCGTATGATGATTTAACCATTGTGTAAATTGTTCCGGTGTTGATTTTAATAGCTGGGCTAATTGTTGATCTACATTAACTAGAAGAAAGCAAAGACAAAGAGAGAGAGAAAATGATTTCAGTTAATATTCATTTTGTATTCATGATATGGAGTTGGGTCGACAGTGAATATTGGCATATGTGCTTGCTATGAATGACCTCTGCCTGGAGCCCTTCTGCAGTTTGTACTGCCGGCATTAAAACATTGTTAAGGTCTAACTTCAATTCCCGACCGTAGCTGCTACCTTGACGTGCCGGTCGGGCTTGCCTATCGTGTGATGACCCAACCGAGCTATATTGGCTGGAACATATGTTCCTGAAGGTTCGACCATGCCAGGCAGGTCGATTGGAGAACGATGAGACTAAAAGCAGCTACCCAAGGTCTGAGGGTGAAGTCGTACTGCTGACTACAGAGGATAACCAGCATCTGCAGCGATGCTGCCTTCTCACAAGGAAGGAAGGGTTAGAAAATGTTGACCCTAAAAATGTCACACCTCACCTTACCTCATAGATTTCCATCTCCGTCGGTAAGGGTGCCCACTAAGGGCCTTTAAGAGCGGAGCTAATACTCGAAAAACCCTTCATCAAAAGGCCGTGCGTGACCGGCCTGTAGCAGTTGTCTCCTGGGCTCTGCGGTCACGCTCCCAGGTCTCCGAAACCAACACTAATCTACCTTCATTTTCAGGTTCCTCAAGAAACAACCTTCCACGGTGTGGGCAGCCGGGAAGTGACAACCGCCCTTATACCCGTAACAGCACACGAGACCGAATTGATCGAAATCTAACTTCAATCAATCCAAGGTATGGTTGTTTAACCTCACTACTTGTGTCTTCGGTTGGATAACTCTGCCTACACCACTGGTCACGACTTCTCATTAGAATTTCTCTTACGAAGCTAGTCACACTAATGAGCACATTATTGAGTTTCATAGAAATAATGAGTAGAACATTGTTAGACCACAATGAGAAACGTAGAAGTACTGGACAGCCGTTTCATTGTAGTATGGAACTTATCAGCAGTACGCATCCACAGATTAGGACGAAACCGCTATCTGATGTTCCTAGATTTCTGACAGTATGGTCTAACATTATCGATCAATTCATAATTTCAATGAAAATCAATAAACTTCATTACTCTATAATCAAAAATCAGATTAATTGTACGTTAAGCAATGAAATAATCAACACATTATACATATATAAGTATATATAAGTAGTAATGTTAATTATCCGTAAAAAATAGTTCATGGAGTTTGACGTTCTTATTTAGGAAAAAGGTACTACTAGGTAAGGATAGTTAGTAGATCAATTAATGAAGTAAGTGAATATTTATCAGTTGAGGTGGTTGAGACATGTGTGTTACGTGTATGCCCATCTACCGACTGCTCTGACGAGTTATGTTTTGCGGTGTAGGAGTAGGTTGGAAGAAAGTCATGGCACAAATTCATGAAGTCACTGACAACTGGATTGAGACATATGGTTAGGTGTCGACTACCTGGTTGGCGTCCACCAGCTAGGTGACGTCCACTGGTTGTGCCGCGTTCACCAGTCCCAACTGTTGGGCAACCTCTGCAGGCACACTTTCTATGAATTGCGACGCTAGCAGCTGTGCTTGCGACTCCTCATCCGAATTCGGCAGACCCCGGCGCAGCAATCTTGTCAACTCCACAGCCAGCACTAGTGGGTCGCCATCCAACGCCACTCTCGCCTCTCGGAACTTCTGCAGCGCGTCCTGCCTATCCACCGGGCTGTCGAACTCCACCAGCAGCCTTTCTGTCACCACCTCCCAGTCAGCGTCCTCCACACCATCGTACACCGCTCTCGCCCTGCCTCTTAGTAGAGTCCCCAACACCACCGACCTCACCCTCTGCTCCTTGACTCCTACCAGCTCCGCCACGGCTTCGAACTCCTTCAAGAAGCTCCTTACATCTCCGTCTTCAAACTCCCGAGGCCGTGGAATCTTCATCTTGTGTAGAGGCAGCGACACCAATTGTAACCGACGGTTAGAGACCTTGAATGACATGGCTCAAAATCTTTTGCAATGACGCAGGTGCATCCACTCTTTATGTTTTCTCAAATTCTAATCTTCTGGATTCTTCATCACCTTTATCTTTCTCTTTCGAAAGTTATCTCACTAAACCACACTTCTTGAATAATATCTTTGATTCCTACAATCTATGGATGACCTATGAATGATGTTGAGGTGACCTTGATAAAATTCTCCTTCATATAAAGGTCAAAAGAGAGTTATGAATTAGTGTGAGGTATTTAAGATGATGATAGAAATTTAAAAGTTCGAGTTTGAGATGAGAGTTGAAGTTTTCACCACGAATCAAAATCAGTAATCATGTTGAAATTCTGTTTGACCATACATAGTGATATGAAGTGAAGCATTTTAGCTTGTCGACTGTTTCAGTTACCCTAGCAGTCTCATCCGTGCTGATGGCCTGGTGACTGATGAAATCTCAGCACGGATACAGAAGGCCCAATCAGCTTTTGCCAACCTGTGTCATTTATGGCGTAAGCGAGATATCCGCCTGCTAACCAAAGGACGAGTGTAACCATGCAGCAGTTCGCTCCGTCCTACTATACGGATGCGAAACATGACCGTTAAGAGTAGAGGACATTCGTTGGTTACTAGTCTTCGATCATCGATGTCTCCGAAGCATTGCTCGTGTATTATGGGACAACCGTATAAGCAATGCTGTTGTTAGGAAACGAGTGCTAGGTAAGGATTGGGGGTCAATAGATGAAGTAATGGAATTTCATCAGTTGAGATGGTTGGGACATGTGTTAAGAATGACTAACCACCGACTGTCTCGTCGAGCTATGTTTTGCGATATAGGAAAAGGTCGAAAGAAAGCTAGGGGCGGCGAAGCCCGAACACGGAACAAATCCACGAAGTTACTGACAACTGGACTGAGTCATGTTGGTAAGTGAAGACCACCTACCTGGTTGGGGTCCGCAATACAATAATGACTTTGAATGGCATGGCTCAAAATCTTTTGCACTGGCGCAGGTGCTTCTACTCCTTGTGTTCTATCAAATTCTAATCTTCTAAATTCTTCATCACCTTTATCTTTCTCCTTTCAAGTTAATTTCACTGAATTCTACTTCTTGAATAATATCTTCGAACCCTAATCAATTTCATTACCGCTAATACTTGTACTATCTCTGTAGTGAAGGAGAATACAGGTGAGGCAGCCGAATTGTATTTAACGAAAATTACAGAGTTATTCAGTAAAATAGGAAAACCATATCGTAAACAGTTAATTTGCAAATCTTCAATCCATTGTCTGACATTTCACTTATTCATGCGTTTCATACAAATTCCATTGTGTTCCCACTCTTCTCCCTTTCTTGATCTTCCCCCATCTTCTGCTGCCAGACAGTACGTTTTCACTCACGTCATATACTACTTATAAGTAGCGCGCACCACATCTCTACTACTTCGGGATTTGAATTGACAATTGCGTCTCTGTACTAATGTGGTATGTCAACCTGAACTGATATACGTAAGTACATACAAAGTTCCACATTTTTATCTGACTGACTGAATTTGACATTCCATCAACTAAGCTGAACTGTTAGCTAATTCCAATTAGTAGTCTCATCCAGAATTCTCCAAAGTTTCATACAATCCTAAGGCAATGGTTGCTTCTTATGAAGTTTGGAACAACAGTCAATCTATCCAACTAACTACCTACCTACCTACCGCCGACTGCCGAAAAACAAACTCAATCCTACCTCCAATGTGATGGAAAAAAAACTTGAGAAAACTACAAAAAAGGTTACCTCATTTAAACAAAAAAACTTACTTGTCTTATCAATGGTTTTCCTAACCAATGGCCAATAACCAATTAAACGTAAAAATAGATAACGTGCACGAACATGATCTAATGATAATTCCCATATAGGACATTTACTTATACATAAACCAGTGGAATGACGTAATGCATGTCGATGGCTTGGTGCAGATAATTTCGTGACATAATCATATGATTCTAAACTCATTTCATGTATACAAAATTCACAGATATCAATTAATTCTGTACGTCCACGTAGTAATACACCTGAAAGGTGTTTTTATATAAGAGAGAGAAAGTAAAATCAAATAGGAAAAAGGTGAGATCATTGTGATGAGTAGTTGAAAAAAAGCGCAAACATTGAAATTACCGATCAATCAATCAATCAATCATTGTTAGACCAACATTGATTCTGACCGATTTGGTCTGGTGTGTTTTAATGGGTAGGAGGGAGGATGTTACTTTCCGGCTGCCGACACCGCGGGAAGGGTTCTGGTTGTCAGAAGGAACATTGACATTGTAACTTCCAAAGGAAATCGGCTTTCATCATGAGACGTGATTGTTCTTCTAAATGAAGACCTTCTAACCCCTAGAGCAGAGTTTAAATGGTTTGAATGATTTTTTTCTTGTTAGCGTCTTCTTAGCGAGTAAGTTTTTTGAAGGATAGAGTCGTCAACTGCAATCCCAACCCTGCTCCTTTATCTGAGCTTGGAACCGGCAGTAGCCCTAGGGGGTCCACAGGCGGACCACTATTACAGAATCACAACGATTGAACAGCCGTTCCGTTCTGGTATAGGACTCATCAGCAGTGCGTATCCACGACTCTGAGGACCTTCAGTGTTGTGGTGCGTGCTACTTATAAGTAGTACATGACGCGAGTGTAAACGTAATGTCTGGCAGCAGAAGATGGGGGGGGAAGATCAAGAAAGGAAGAGCGGAGAACACAATGAAATTTGTATGAAACGCATGAATAGTGAGTGACAATGGATTGATGTTGTTTGCAACAGAAACAGTCCAGTTCGATATAATCGACTGATATTTTGCAAATTAACGATTTACGATATGGTTTTCCGATTTTACTGAGTAACTCTGTAATTTTCGTTAAATACAATCCGGTTGCCCCACCTGTGTTCTCCTTCACTACAGTGTGACGTAAGAACGCCTAACCTCTGTACTGCTGAGCTGTCATTCAATGGAGTTAATGTCTACCTCTGCACGACCATATCCATTTGTCTTCAGTAGTAACTGCCTACATCCAACAAGGTTGGACTCATCCACTGATCACGTCATCTCACTAGAACTCCAAGATTTTCACCATAAAGCTAGTCACTAGTAAGCACATTGTACAATTTTTTCATAGTTTCAAGAGTTTACGATAGACTCATCAAATTCAAAATATGATGCGATAAAAAACGAACTACTTATGAACAGTATAATTGCAATGCAAAAAATTTCATTAAAAAGGCAAGTTAAATACAATGACGTATTTTAAATATATGGAATTTTAAATTTTATTCTATAATTTCAGTTCTCCTCACTCTAAGGTATCCATCCATCTTGTTTAGATGAAATGTGATGTGACCACTTAGAACGATAGATATTTATGGCTTGATGATATGCTTGTCCGTTGATATGCTTGAATGCTATTACAAGTTCACTTTACTCGGTAAACGAGATCGAAGACAAATGAACCAATGACACCATAGGCTACTCTAATCCGAGCGTCTCAAGGCCCCACTAAGTAGAGGAAGAAGTCTTGATAAAAAGTGTATTCTACAAGTACCCAAATCGAGTTTCGTTATACATGATAGAAACGTAAATGGTAGAGCCACGAAAATAGCGTACTAAAAAATTGCATCAACCAACAACATTCAAGGATGGGAAATGTAATCTCAAGGTCAACTGATCAGCCCATGCGCGAAACCCTAAAATCCAGAATTAGGACCTTTATCAAATGAGTTCTGGGGATCTATAGTCCCCAACACTTGACCTTAAAAGGGGTTAGAGGATTCTAAGCAATATCGCTTGCTTCTACTCATATTCTACTATCTTCAATTGTTATTGAAACACATTATTGGAGAAAGTCGATTATACTTCTAGTCAAGATCATGTAGTTTGTATATAACTTGTCAAGAATAAGGACAAATTCATGTATATCAATAATTTTGTACATCTATTTTCAGTATCTACGACGTCTTAGTTTCAATCCAATCGTCTTATATATAATTTTGGAAAAACTGTCGTGTATAACTACTCTTTGTAAATAGTTAGGTTTGATTAACAGTCAGTTATTCGACTGATCAATAATTAGTTACGATATATATCAACAAATACAACGCAGAACTTCGTACATAAGTACATCAGTTCAGGTTGCCATACCACATCAGCACAGAGACGTAACTGTCAGTTCAAATCCAAGAGTGATAGTGATAGTAGATGTATTAACAGTAATGGAGAAGATTAGGGAGCGAAGATATAATTCGAGAAGTATAATTCAGTGAGATAAATTTAGACGGAGAAAAATAGAGATGATGAGGAATTCAGAAGGTTAGAGTTGGAGAGAACACACAGAATGAATGCACCTGCACCATTGCAACCGATTCTGAGCCAAGTCATTCAAGGTCTCTAACCATCGGTGACGTTCGTTTCGCTGACCCTAACCAGGTAGTCTACATTTACCAACATGAATCAGGCCACTTGTCAGTGACACTTCATGGATTTGTGCCATCTTGTGGTCTGGCTGCCCATCGGCTTTCTTCCAACCTACTCCTAAACCGTAAAACATCGCTCGTTAGAGCAGTCATCCCACATAGGACTTCTAATTTGAACTCAGGTATCTCAGTGGATAACACACGCTGGGTGTTTATTAAAACGAACGAGATCGAACAAGGATCGTGATGCATATCCAAACTGTTAGTAGGACAAAGATGGATTAAAGCATGTTGCGTTAACCACGCACTGATTGGCTAATTTTCTATCTAATCAACGCCTGGTCGATACTTGCAGAGCATTCAAGAAAAATTCACGTGTTATTTTATTAGCTGCACACTGATTGGCTAGATCTAATCTATTCAGCGATAGTCAATTACATAGATTAAAATTCCAGATATTCCTCATGTATAAACTATAAAGATACTAACACTGTTTCTATTTCGCCTTCACTTCAACTTCTGACTTCCAGTTAACCTTGCTAGTCGAGTATATTGTTGTCAAACAATACTAAACAATAGGAATGTGGTGTGAGCTACTTATTAGTAGTATATGACGTGAGCGTCAACGTAATGTCTGGCAGCATAAGATGAGGGAAGATCAAGAAAGGAAGAGTTAGAAGAACACAATGGAATTTGTATGAAACGCATGAATAGTGAGTGACAATGGATTGATGTTGTTTGCAACAGAAACAGTCCAGTTCGATATAATCGACTGATATTTTGCAAATTAACGATTTACGATATGGTTTTCCGATTTTACTGAGTAACTCTGGAATTTTCGTTAAATACAATTCGGTTGCCCCACCTGTGTTCTCCTTCACTACAGGAATAGCTAGTGTAGTGAATGAGAACACAGGTGGGGCAACCGAATTGTATTTAACGAAAACTACAGAGTTACTCAGTAAAATCGGACAACCATATCGTAAATCGTTCATTTGCAAAAGATCAGTTCATCCTATGGAACTGGACTGTTCTTGTTGCAAAACATCAATCCACTGTCACTATTCATGCGTTTCATACAAATTCCATTGTATTCTAACTCTTCCTTTCTTGATCTTCCCCACATATTATGCTACCAGACTTTACGTTGACACTCACGTTATATACTACTTATAAGTAGTTCGCACCACAGCACCACACTAGGAGTATATATCAAGAGAGCTTTATTATAACACAAAGTTACATTGACAGTCACATTATCAAATATCCACAAATAAATAACAAGATTATTTATTTAAAACTTACTTGGAAAACGTTGTACAACATTCAATACATCATTATGAGTTAAATAATGACTCAGTACTTCTAATGATTCTTGTAATATAGTTTTATTAGACAACAACGACAACAACGTAGTATTACTACTGTCAACAGTATCATATTGATTGGAATGGATAGGTATTGTTGTAGTAGTAGTGGTAGTAGTAGTAGTAGTACAATTATTCATCATGGTAGATAATGGTAATTCTGGACAATGTTCAATTAATTTATTTACATGTTTCACACCAATATTCATTAATGGATCATATAATTTACTAAGCATTGAATTACAATTCAATATATCTAAACGAATTTGTACTGGATCAAATTGTTGATTAGATTGTACGAGTACACCTAAAAAATATGACAGACAGAAATAAATACGGAGAGATGTAGAGAGAGAGAAATGCATGAAATGGGGGTTGTGAAGATTGGAGAGTGACTATTTAAAATCAACCATGAATCAATCATTGTAAGAGCATCGCTGGAAACATGGAAGCGCTGGACGGATGTTCCCTCTTCGTATCGGACTCATCAGCAGTGAGTATCCACGCTGCCCGCTATTCAAATATTCGAACCCAGGACCTATGGTGTGGCACGCGAACTCCTAACCTCTGAACCAATAGGCATACATCCAACGGTGTTAATATCTAACTTCGACCAAATCACAGTTTTCGTTCAACCTCATCCAGTGTCTTCGATGAGCACTGCTTCACATTCGAACAGGGTTGAACTTCAACGGTCATGACTTCGCACTAAAACTTAGAGAGACGTCCTCACGGAGATGATCACTAGTAAGCACATGGTAATTTTCATGAAAAGGTTTTAGAAATTGTTGAGTTACTGTTTGAAATAATCTATCAATCATTGTAAGAGTACCATTGGAAACATGGAAGCACTGGACGGATGTTTCCTCCCAGTGTTGGACTCATCAGCAGTGCGCAAACGCGACTCCAGCTACTTACAGGGTTCGAACCAAGGACCTATGGTGCGGAGCACAAACGCCTAACCCCCAAACCACTGACGCGGTATCCATTGATGTTAATATTTAACTTCGATCAATCCATGGTGAGCACTGCTTCACTTTCGAAAAGGGTTGAACTCTACTAGTCACGACTTCACACTAGAACTAGGAGGAACATACTCACGAAGCGGGTCACTAGTGAGCACATGATAATTTTCATGAAAGGATTTTTATAGATCGTTGAGTAACTGTTTGAAAACATGAATCGATCATGGAGAGTCTCATATCAGGACGAAACGGCCGTCCAGAGCTTCCCGGTTTCTGATAGTGGTTGAACAATGATTGATTCATTATTTCAAGAAAATGTAATGAAATATAGAGAAAATGCATGAAAGGGTTGTGAAGATTGTTGAGTTACTGCTTGAAATCACGAATCAATCATTGTTGAATCATCATTAGAAATCTGGAAGCACTGGACGGCTGGTTCCTCCTTGTATCGGACTCATCAGCAGTGCGCAGACACAACTCCAGCTACTCACAGGATCTATGATGTGGCACGCGAACGCCTAACCTCTGAACCAATGGGCAGGCATGCAACGGTGTTAATGTCTAACTTCGATCAACTCACAGTTTTTGCGCAACCTCATCCAGTGTCTTCGGTGAGCAGTGCTTCAGATCCGAACAAGGTTGAACTCTAATAGTCACGACTTCACACTAGAACTTGGAGGAACATACTCACGAGGCTGATCATTAGTAAGCACATGATAATTTTCATGAAAGGGTTGTGAAGATTGTTGAGTGACTGTTTGAAATCATACATCAATCATTGTTAAATCATCATTAGAAATCTGGAAGAATTGGACGGCTTTTTCCTCCCAGTATTGGACTCATCAGCAGTGAGTATCCACGCTGCCCGCTATTCAAAGGATTCGAACCAAGGACCTACGGTGTGGAACGCGAACGCCTAACCTCCAAACCACTGAGCCGGTATTCATCCACTGTCTTCGGTGAGCACTGCTTCACATCCTGACAGGGTTGAACTCTACTGGTCACGACTTTACACTAGAACTTAGAGAAACATCCTCACAGAGATGATCACTAGTGAGCACATGGTAATTTCCATGAAACGGTTTTATAGATTGTTGAGTTACTGTTTGAAATAATCTATCAATCATTGTAAGAGTACCATTGGAAACATGGAAGCACTGAACGGATGTTCCCTCTTTGCATCGGAGTCATCAGCAGTGCGCATCCACAACTCCAGCTACTCGTAGGGTTCGAACCCAGGACCAACAGAGTGGCGTGTAAACGCCTAAACTCCAAAGCACTGAGCCGGTATTCATCCACTGTCTTCGGTGAGCACTGCTTCACATCCCGACTGGGTTGAACTCTACTGGTCACGACTTCACACTAGAACTTGGAGGAACATAATCACGAAGCTGGTCACTGGTGAGCACATGATAATTTACATGAAACGGTTTTATAGATTGTTGAGTTACTGTTTGAAATTATAAATCGATCATGAAGAGTCTCATACTAGGGCGAAACGGCCGTCCAGAGATTTTGGATTTCTAATGATGGTTTAACAACGATTGATTCATGATTTCAAGAAAATATAACGACATATAGAGAAAATGCATGAAAGGGTTGTGAAGATTGTTGAGTGACTGTTTGAAATCATGCATCAATCATTGTTAGACCATCATTATAAACTTGAAAGCACTGGACGGCTGTTTCCTCCCAGTGTTGGACTCATCAACAGTGCGTGTCCATCACTCTCGCTATTCACAGGATTCGAACCCAGGATCTATGATGTGGAGCGCGAAAGACTAACCTCTGGACTACTGAAACGGTATTCATCCACTGTCTTCGGTGAGCACTGTTTCATATCCGAACAGGGTTGAACTCTACTGGTCACGACTTCACACTAGGACTTAGAGAGACGTCTTCACGGAGCTAGACAATAGTGAGCACATAATAATTTACATGAAATGGTTTTAGAAATTGTCATGAAGAGTCTCATATCAGGACGAAACGGCCGTCCGGTGCTTCCAGATTTCTAATAATGATCTAACAATGACTGTGATTCATGATTTCAAAAAGTAACTCAACAATCTGCACAACCCTGTCATGTAAATTATCATCAATTATCAGCGATCTGAGCCAGAACTTGCAGGTCACTTCGTAAGAGTTTGACCTTTAGATCACTGAGTTATATCATCCATGAATTAACATTTACAACTTGAATCCATCCATAATATAATTGCGCAATTGTTATTCATTGATAGTAGTTATAATTGTATCACACCTAAAATGGTAGAATTCCATTGATCATAACTTCACACTACAACTCTCTAAATTACCTGCCGATCATCAAGAAGCTTCAAAGTTATGAATTCATTCTCTGGTTGGGGATCATCAATGTACAATGTTGAACAGTCAATCTAGGAATATGACTAAATGCAAAAATTTCTCCTATCGAGTCGTATAAGATTTCAAGATGAGATGGTAGTATTGTAATGGACCAGTCAGTGTTGTTGTAATCAAATTGCTGGAATTAAGACCATCCGCTATTATTATTTCTCTGCATTTTCTCTCTTCGCTCGTGAATTAATATCAATCAAGTACAAAATTCAATTATAATTTCTCTACTTCTTATATGCTATCCTGTCTATATATATATATATATATATATATATATATATATAGCCTGATGTCAAAAGCCTTGACCATAATGAATGATACACTCCAACTGACACGATTAGTGCTGAGCTGAAGTTCAAGAACACTTAACTCTTAATGATCTGCCGATTCCCAGTTTTGAGTCTGAATAGAGGAGAAGACTACACAACAACAAATACAAGTGAAGACGAACAATGTAGCAACATCTTCTTCAGCAGCAACAGGTTTCAACATACATAGAGAGAAAAGCAAGATTCTTCAGTACAACACAACATGAGCCAACCAAATCACTGTTGATGGAGATGCCATAGAGGATGTAAAAACTTTGACATATCTGAGCAGCAACATTGACGAGCAAGGTGAATGTGATGCAGATGTGAAGGAGCGGATCGGCAAAGCAAGCGAGGTATTTCTACAATTGAAAAACATCTGGAACTCAAAGCAACTATCGACAAACACCAAAATCAGGATTTTCAATACAAATGTCAAGAAAGTTCTACTGTAAGAGGCGGAAACTTGGAAAACTACCAAACCCATTATCCACAAGATACAAGTATTTATTGACAATTGTCAATGCAAGATACTGAGGATCTGTTGGCCGGATACCATTAGCAGCAACCCACTGTGGGAGAACAAACCAGGTCCCGGCGGAGGAGAAAATCAGCGGGAAGCGCTGGATTTAATGGATAGGACACATACTGCGGAAAGTACCCAACTGAGTCACAGAACAAGTCCTCACTTGGAACCATCAAGGTCAAAGGAAAAGAGAAAAGACAAGAAACACATTACGCCGAGAAATAGAGAAAGATATGGTAAGAATGAACAAAAACTGGACAGTACTGGAAAGGGAGACCCAGGGAAGAGTAGGTTGGAGAATGCTGGTCGACGGCCTATGCTCGATTGGGGTATATATATATATATATAATCACAAATAAAAAGTGAATTTGAAATTTCATAGACACTAAAATGATTACTAGTTTTATAGTCAATTATTCTCAAACTTTTTCTTCCGTTATAAAAGTAAAATCGGTTTAGAGATGGATTACACCCATAGGAAACGCGTTACTGCAACCACAATTCAATGATATTTGGCATTTTAGATTTCGGTCACATCACTATCCAATCAATCTGTGTAGCACAGTATAACCTACTCAAAAAATAAATGTCTCGCACAAAGCAGCTTCATTGAATTGCCACATTAGGGGAAAGTTCAACTACAATTTCAAAGTACTACAATCAAATAAAGAATGGGGGAGGGGACAGATAGCACAGAAACGAAAGGGAAACATAAACACTCAGTCGGTCAGTTACATTGTAGAACTTCATAAGTACAAACATAAGTTCAAATCGCCATACCACATTAGCACACACAGATCGAAATGTCCATTCGAATCCCATAGTAGTAGAGGTAAAAGTATCAGCAGTAATAAAAAAGTGAAAAAAAAACGGTCATGAGCAATTCAGAAAATTAGGATTTGAGGGAAGCCAAAGAATGGATTCACCTGTGCCATTGCAAACAATTTCGAACCATGTCATTCAAAGGCTCTAACCATCGATTACCATCGCCTCGCAGATTCCAACCAAGTAGTCTACACTTACCAACATGACTCAATTCACTTATCAAGGTCTTCATGGATTTCTGCCATGTTTTGTTTTGGCTACCCTTTGAGTTTCTCCCAACCAACTCATACACCACAAAACATCGTTCGACACAGGCAATCAGTGGTTGTGTTAGGATATTCATCCAATATCCTAAGAGAATTATTGGTCAAATCCTATTGGTCGATTTCTATTGGTCAAAATTATGGTCGTTTTGATTGTCAAAGTCAAATACTTCAATGTTGTTTCTTATTGGTCATCCTGACTGTCAGTGTCACTTCAAATGTTACTTCCTATTGGTCGTCTTAACTGAATTCGATGCTGTTTCCTATTCGACCTAAATGTATAAATACGCATTATCTGTGACGTTTATCGACCATGACCAGGACCAGATCCCGGATCCATGATCCGGGATCCTGATTCTCTTCTGGATTCGGACCTCGTACTTTCTGGATGCTTGTAGAATACATGTTCTACTTCATATCACGTCTTCTTATTTTTCACTAAATATGGAGGTTGAGATAATCGGGTCTGAGTAGTATGTCGTGTCACCGGATCCTCGCTCTCGTTTTCCGACTAAGGTAAACTCGTGATAGTTCAAGTATATCAAGTTGACGTGTTTACATGCAGGCGTAACAGCTTGGACATACATAACTCAAGTCCCAACCACTTCAACTGATGAAGTTTCATTCACTACGAAAAAAAATTATTGAATAACTTTATCGATAAGATTCATTCACTTACTTTGTTCACTGAATTCATATTTACATACATTATAAATGATTTGTATACTAGTTTTAGCGTCAATATTCAATGCTTTTTGATAAACTTTCAAAAATAGCTTATCCAGCAATGATTCCGCCTCAATACTTCGATCATTATCTTCATTACATCTAAACGATTTAACTGAAGGCCAACGACCTAATTTCCACTCATATTCACATGATATAAGTAAATTTTTCAGATTATTCAATATAGATAAATTAGAAAATGTTTGTTGCAACCATTCGGTCGGTAAATATTGACTAGTCAACATCGTCATCATCTCTGTTGAATTTGATGCATCAGTTTGTGATGATGAGATTGTCGTGCACAAAGAAGAAGAATTTGTCAATGAACTATTGTGATATTGATTAATACTACTGATGCATAAGAGTTGACGAGGAAAGTAGTAGGAGATTTGTGAATTACGATGAGAAATGAATCGTGTAAAATTAAAAGTTGAAAATAATTTTGTAGTCAATGTATAACACTGTCGAGAGTAGTACATTTTGTGATGATGAAGATGTCGGACAGTACAAAGTGCATTTACTGTAAATATAATGCCGAAAAAAATAATCATTACAATGAAATAATTTCAAAACTATGGATTAACTATGCAAAAAAAAATAAAATTGTCTTCTCTCTCAATTACACTAATACGAAAGTCAGTCAGTCAGTCAGATGCAACGTAGAACTTCGTACGTAAGTACATCAGTTCATGTCGCCATACCACATCGGCACAGAGATATAATTGTCAATTCAAATCCAATAGTAGAAGAGGTAGTAAAGTTATTAGAAGTAATCGGAGAGGTTAGGGTTAGAAGATATTGAGATAAAGTTAGAAAGACAGAGGTGCTGACGAAAACAGAAGATTAGGATTTGAGAGAGCTCAACGAATGGATGCACTTGCGCCATTGCAAACTATTTTGAGCCATGTCATTCAGGGTCTCTAACCATCGATTATTATCATCTCGCCGACCCCAACCAGGTAGTCGACAATTACCGACATGGCTAAGTCCACTCGTCAATGACTTCATAGATTTCTGCCATGTTTTGGTTTGGCCGCCCCTAACTTTCTTCTAACCTATTCCTACACTACAAAACAAAGCTCGACGAGGCATTCGGTGGTTGGGCATACGCAACACATGTCCCAACCACCTCAACTGATGAAGTTTCAATACTTCATCTATTGATCTGCCATTCTTACCTAGCACTCGTTTCCTAATAACAGCGTTGCTCACTCGGGTGTCCCAGGATATACGAGCAATGCTTCGAAGACACCTATGATCGAAAACCAGTAACCTACGAATATCTTCTACTCTCACTGGCCATGTTTCACAGCCATAAAGTAAGACACTAATACGAAAAACTAATGTTATTTATCAGTCGATCAGTCAACAACTACAACATAGAAATTAGAGTATGTACATACATCCATTCAAGTTGCCATACCACATTAGCATAGAAAAATGGAATTGTCAACTCATATCCCATAATGCATTCATTCTTTGAGCTCTCTCAAATCCTAATCTTCTGGATTTGTCAGCACTTCTACCTTTGTCTCTCTAACCTTATATCACGGAATTATACTTCTTGAATATAAATATCTTCAAACCCTAGTCATCTTCATTACCATTAATACCTCTACTATCTTTATCACTATGGGATTTGATTTGACATTTGCGTCTCTGTGCTAATGTGGTATGGTAACATGAACTTATGTACATATGTATGAAGTTCTACGTTGTAACTGACTGATTGATCCCATAGTAGTGTAAATGTAGTAGAAGTATTAGAGGTAATGGGAGAAGAATACGGTTTGAAGATATTATTCAAGAGGTGTGATTCAGTGAAATAAACTGAAAAAGAGAAGGATAAAGGTGATAATGAATTCAGATTAGCATTCGAGGGAATCTAGAGAATGGATGCTCCTGCGACATGTCATTCAAGATCTCTAATCATCGATTACTGTCGTCTCACGGACCTCAATCAGATAGGCGACAACTACCGACATGACTTAGTCCACTTGTCATTGACATTTCATGGATTTGTGCCATGTATTGGTTTAGCAGCTCCTAGCTTTCTTCCAACCTACTCTTACACTGCAAAAGATCGTTCTCCAAGGCAGTTGGTGGTTGGGCATCCGTAACTCATGTCTCAACCACCTCAACTGATGAAGTTTCAATACTTCATCCATTGATCTGCCATTCTTATCTAATACTCGTTTTCTAACAACAGCATTGTTAACTCGGTGAGCCCAGCACACACGGAATTCATTACAGCCTTGATTTAATAACTTATTTCGCATTGGAAAGAAACAAACTACATATCACAAAAAAGGCAACAAAACGAACAGATTATTTTGTTAACTTAAATGAACACAAACGCATGATAGATTGATGGTATTTGTGTTCATTTACTGTTGTTCAAGGTTGGAAAACTTTCTGATTTGGCCAACCCCTGTATATTATCAAGCAGATGATTTGAGATAATATATAGATGTTTTTCGTGAGTAGAATCCAAGTGACAAACAAAGTTGATAGCCGCTTTTTTGTGAGCTCAGAGAACGTAACACCAACATAATCATCCAAATGAGGTATAAATTTTCTTCACCGTCTCATTCAAATACATTGAAATTTTTACAACAATCTTGTTGTGTATTGCTAATAAAATAAGAATATTTGCCATTTGAAATTCTCGGAGTTCCAGTGAGAAGTTGTGAACAATGGTCAGTCAGTCAGTTGCAACGTAGAACTACGTACGTATGTACATAAGTTCATGTTGCCATACCACATTAGCACAGAGAAGCAGAGATAAAGATAGTAGAGGTATTAATGGTAATTCAGTGAGATAAGGTTAGAAAGACAAAGGTAGAGGTGCTGACGATTCCACAAGACTAGGATTAGAGACAGCTCAAAGAATGGATGCACTTGCGCCATTGCAAACGATTTTGAGCCATGTCGTTCAAGGTCTCTAACCATCGGTGACTTTCGTCTCGCGGACCCCAACCAGGTAGTCTACATCTAGCAACATGACTCAGTCCACTAGTCAGTGATTTCATGGGAGTGAAAAATGGGATTCAACCCTGTTGAGTGTGGGCAGTTATCTATCGAACACAATCGGTGAGGTTGAGCAATATAAGGGATTGACTAAAGTTAGAGATTAACACAGTTGGATGCCGGTTCAGTGGTCTATGAGTTAGGCGTTCACGTTCGAGATCGAAAGTCCTGGATTCGATTCTTGCAAGCAGCACGAAACGGCCGTCTAGTGCTTCCAAGTTTCTAATGGTAGTCTAAAAATGATCGATTCATTATTCCAATGTCCATAATAAAATTGCAAAATTGATTGCCTAACGTTACAAAACCATTTGACGATTTCGCATTAAAGTATTATGGAGGTCGTAGTTTTCAATCAATCAATCAATCAATCAATCACATTGGCACAGAGATGTAATTGTCAATTCAAATCCCACAGTACTAGAAGTAGTAATGGTATTAGCAGTAATAGGAGAGATTAGGATTAGAAGATAAGAAATAGACTTAAAAAGATAGAGATAAATTGATGAGGAATTAAAAAGTTTAGGATTTGAGAGAACACAAAGAATGAATGCACCTGTGCCACTGCAAACAGTTTTGAGCCATGTCATTCAGAGTCACTGATCATCGATTAGATCGTAGTGTGACCTTGAAATCATAAAAGAATCATTGTTAGACCACAATTAGAAATCTCGAAGCACCAGACGACTGTTTCCTCAAAGTATCGACTCATCAGCAGTGCACACCCACGACTCCTGTTACAGAATTCGAACCGAGGACTTTCGATCTCGCGCACGAACCCTTAAACTCTGTGCCACTGAGCCGGCATCCAACGGTGTTAATGTCAAATTTTAATTAATCTAAGGATCCTGAGCAACCTCACACATTGTCTCCGGAAGTAATTGCGTAAGCCTGAACCTAATTGAACTCCACTGGTCACGTCTTCTCACTTGAATTCCAAGGATCTCACGGAACTAGTCACTAGTGAGCACATTTTTTGACTTTGCATTATAGTATTATGGAGATCGCAGCTCTACCTTGAGTCACATACCAGGATGAGACGTTCCTTCAATGCTTTCAGGTTTCTAACGATAGTCTGACAATGATTCATTCATTCACGGTTTCAAGTTTAAACATTTAACGATTGTCCAAATAAGAACAAAATGTATACAGAGTGACGATCAGTTTGTAGTTAAAGCGCGTATCACTTCTCATCTCAAAGCAGATCTCAAGATTCGGATTCCATTGCACCATTATCACATGGTACAAGCACAAAACACCAAATCAGAATACTGTTGTCAGTTCACGTTAAAGTTTTATTATTCTACAACAACACTATAAGTTCCCCTCTCCTGTTACGCCTGCACGTAAGAACGTCAACTTGATATACTTGAACTATTACGAGTTTATCTAGTCGGAAAACGACAGCGAGGATCGAGAATCCGGCGACACGACACGCTACTCCAATCCGATTATCTCAAACCCATATTGAGTAAAAATAAGAAGACTTGAATGTGAAGTAGAACCTGTGTTCTACAAGCATTCAGAAAATACGAGGTTCGAGACCAGAAGAGAATCAGGATCCGGGACCGGGTACTTGTCCTTGTCCAGGTACTAAAACATTACAGATAATGCTTATTTATACATTTTGGTCGAATAGGAAACAGCATCGAAGTCTGTGACGTTGACAGTAAAGTCAATCAATAGGAAGCAACCTTTGAGGTGACATTGATAGTCAGGACAACCAATAAGAAACAACATTGGAGTACATGACATTGATGTCTAGGACGACCATAAAATTGACCAGTAGGGATTAGCCAATAAGAACTGACCAATAATTCTCTTAGGATATTGGATGAATATCCTAACAGATAGATAGATAGATAAGTTATAACGTAAAAACTTCCACATTACGACTTATTATCCCTAATAGAGTATAAGCTGACGACGAGCATTCTCCAACCCACTCTATCCTAAGCATTCTTTTTCAGTTCTACCCCTAGTGTTGTTCATTCTTTTCATGTACGCCTTCATTTCTCGAAGAATTGTGTTTTTTGGTATTTCTCGTTTCCTCTGACCTTGCGATTTTAAATTGACCAATAGGAATTAACCAACAGGAATTGATCAATAATTAATTCTCTTAGGATGAACACGTACTTGATGAACAATATATCTATCATTATTAAATAAATGCCCAAACATCCATTATTTTTTTTAAAAAAACAAAAAAATTATTTTTCAATTATTCAATTTCATTTATTTCATAATGATATACATAAATACTGTACAATTTTACATTACATTACATTTTACAATAATCATTGTTTAAATCGATCATTTTAAAATATGTAATCCATTCAATTGAGATGAAAGCATTGATATCACTTGGTGTGAATGATGCGCCGCTGAATTGGATTTCATCATAATCAGACGAATTAATAGAATAGCCCATTCAACACAAAATGAATTGAATGGATCTCTGTTTGTGGCGTCTAATATTACTTCGAATGCAGTCAAGTATGGTGTAGTTGTTGTTGGTGAATGAATTGATTTCTCATCAGCGGCATCGTCGTTGCTTGTATTATATCGATTTGCTTCAAATTTATGTGAAGCTAATGTAAGAGATAATTCAGGGAATTGTGTTATTAAACCAACTAAACAACGTATCACATCTTGTTTGAAACCAATTGCTTGAATTAATGAGAAAGGTGATGTTTGAGAGAGGATGACCTGAAATTTTTTTCAAAAGAACAAGATTGCATGATTGATTGATTAATTGACTGATTTATGTACACTAATTGTAGACTTTATGTAGTAAGATTTAGAGACGGTGGAGAAGATTTGTAGCTCAGGTGGATGATTGTGGTGGTAGTGGTGTTTGGTTCTCTGAGCTGGATTTGTTTTGGTTGTGGAGCTTTCATTGTTCTTCCTCGTGAACAACATTATCAGCACAAACTTCAGATAGAGGAAGTGAAGTATTCGAATTTCTCCACGTTTGACCCCCTAGCTTGTTCTGCTAACCTCGATCTTGATTGGTTGCTGTTGACCTTAATCCTGTCGTTGTTTGCACCTTTGTTTTGATTGCATCCCCCTATTGATCTATTTTGATCGGACCTATGATTTTCATAGTTGACATAGGATCAAGAAACAGATCAATAGGGGGAACAAAGATGGAAACAACGACAGGTTTAGGGTCAACAGCAACCAATCAAGATCGAGGTTAGCAGAACAAGCTATAGATCAAACGTGGAGAAATTCCAGTACTTCACTTCTATCTATAGTAGGTCAAAGGTGGATGAATAGACTTCAAATAATCATTAAAAACATCAAAACGATTGCGTAATAAGTAAATGTGTAAAAACAAAAAATATATAATGTCAAGCATTAGTTACGTCATATCCGGCCACGGAAGTTTGTGCTGATGATGTTGTTCAGCAAGAGAACAATGAAAGCTCTACAACCAAAACATCCAGTTCAGAGAACCAAACACCAACACCACAGTAAGATTTAGGAAAAATTTCAGTTGCTTCAAGGCTAACAATAATACTATTCGATTGTTCAAATCGAAGTAGGTTTCAAACTCGTAACCTACGACGTCGACAGCTAAGTGTTTGAAGCACTACGCCAATGCATCACCAGCAAAAAGCACTGAATGACTGTCTTGCATAGTACGGGACCTCTCAACAGTTTGTATCGACGACCCGATCAGGGACCCACGAAAAAAGTTTGACCTTCAAGCCGAAGAAACATGTAGTTGGAGTGAATATGATGTGTGTGAAAAACTAACGTCAACTGAGAGAGGCATTAGAAATTGAGCAACATTTCATAGTTATTTTCGTTGAGTTCGAGACTCTTTTAGCAGTGTGCACCTAAAACTCGTTATTAAACGCCAACTCGACGGTCCAAAGGTAACCACCACCCATCAGCCAAGATCCTAAAGATTCTGGGTTCGATCCGTGGTGGGAGCATACTACGACCAGAACAACTGTTCAGTGTTTTATGGATTTACAAATGCGTTGATGTGAACAATGAAGTGTTGATAATCACCACTTCTCCTGCCTTATATTCTGGTTGGATATTTAGGAGAATGATCAATCAACCAATCACTTGTCAACGAATAAAATGTCATTGGATTTATTATCAATTAATAGTGTAGGTGCGGAAAAGAACTATAGTATATTGAAGGCTTTGAAACGTACCGGAGCAACCAGTCAGAATGAAGATAGCAATTGATGAATTGATTAATGATTTCTTAAATAAAACTACGAGGAACTATGTTTCTGACTAGACTCTGCATTTCAGTTATGTTAGGATATTCATACAATATCTTAATAGAATTATTCGTAAGTCTAATTCCATTGGTCGATTCCTACTGGTCAATATTATGATCGTCTTAGATATCAGTGTCACAAACTCCAATGTTATTTCTTATTGGTTGTCCTGACTATCAATATCACTTCAAATGTTGTTGCCTATTGGTCGTCTTAACTGTCAATGTCACAGACTTCGATGCTTTTTCCTATTCAACCTAAATGTATAAATACGCATTGTCTGTAACGTTTTATGACGAGTACCCGGTCCCGGATCCCTAGTCCGGGATGCTGATTCTCTTTTGAACTCGGACCTCGTACCTTCTGGATGCTTATAGAATACAGGTTCTACTTCATATCATGTCTTTTTTCACTCAACTCAGGTTGGGACACTCGGATTAGAGTAGCATGTCGTGTCACCGGATCCTGGCTCTCGTATTCCGACTAAGGTGTAAACTTGTAATAGTTCAAGCATATCAAGTTGACGTGTTTACGTGCAGGTGTAACAAGTTATGACCGTGTATCACCAACAGAATCTTCGCTAGTATCTTGTCTGACTATGAGGGGACGGATGACATACGGAGAAGGTACGTAGTCCACTGTAACAAATCCTAATCCCGAAGTGAACATCAACCATAAGAGGCAGGCATATCCAGATGATAAGTCTCAAACAGGATGAAAGGTGAGTCTTTGATTCTACCGCTAGCCACACCGCCATCTATTCTTTAGTATCCTATTATGAATAGCACAGTTTTGTAAGTTAAATTTCGAACAAATGAACGGTTTACAAAAGTATACACTACTGTTGCGATGCCGATCGTTTACACCACCTCCATTCGGAGCATTAAAGTTAGAAAGGTATGATTTAAGTTAGAATGTTAACAGTTATGATACTAAATAAGGCCTAAACCTCAATCACAACATTTAAAACAGACTTAAAACCTGATAAACTGATGTCAAGGTCAAACTTGCAACATTGTTCAATTCAATTGAATACCTATCATTTAAACAAATCACAGAATAACACATAAATCATACCATTTTTTTGGCTAATTTTGATGGATACACAGTATATTCTTTAGTTTTTATTGAATCGCTTCGAAATGGTAATTCATTCTCTTCCATAGAATTGGATATATTATAGAATTTTTCAAATTTACATGTAGCATAATGTGTAATCACTAAAATATTACAAAAACATTCCACTAGTTGATCAGCATCACTGTGTGTGATTGATATTTTTGGTTCAAATGACCGACTGGTTTCATGATCAAAGGATATTGATTGTTGATCAATAGGTTGTTTTAAACATACATCAAGTGTACTACTATTATTGCTCTCTGTATTATCATTACTATCCACCAAATTGGAAAATATAATACTAGCTAGTATATGTATTAAACCACGCAATCGAGCATTTGGATAATTTGTGGCCTGTGAATTGAGAGAGAAAAAATATATATATACGAATAGTTTTATTGTATAATTGTGAATAATGTTTAGTTTCATTGAAAAAAATCAATCAACTTGGAAGCACTGAATGGAGTTCTAGTGATAAGTCGTGAACAGTAGAGTTGAACCCAGTCAGGTGTAGGCAGTTACTTATGAAAGACATAGGATGAGGCTGTGCAATACCTCGGCGGATGGATTCAAGTTAGATATTCACACTGATCAATGCCGGTTCAGCGATCGAGAGGTCTTAGGTTCCTTTGCCGAGGAGTCATGGATGAGCACTGTTGGTGAGGACCATACTAGGACGAAACGGCCGTCCAGTGTGGTTCCAGGTTTCTAATGGTGGTCTAACATTCATTGACTCATACAAACATATTACAACTTATGGTAAAACAACTAGTCCCTTTTTATGAATTTTGAGAGAACAGTGAGAAGATGTAATTGATCTGAAAAATGTTGTGATGTATTTGCGCTATGCATATTTTGAACAATCTGGTCACACACATGCATACTTGTCAAGGTATTTTATATGAAGATTAATAAAAGGTTAATTAAATAAAATTTCAAATAGGTTGTTACGCTCGTCTCTAGGTATGCTTAAAACTATTACGGGATCACCTTAGTCGAATAACGAGAACAAAACAATGAAACAGCGTCCATGTAGGCTACTGTGATCCCTTGACCAAAATTGTATCAGTAAGAAGTCTTGATATAGTGTAGAAATTGTATTCTACAAACACCTAGCCAGCACACACAATGAATCCAATCACTCAAATTGCGTTTATTTATACTCTATAGAGATGTCCTTGGTACAATCACAAAAACAGCATACTAAAATGACACAGTAACCAATCACAGCCAAGGATTGTGCGGGTGAGAAATGTGATCTCAAGGTCAACTGATCGGTGCATGAAATAAATGCAAAATAAAGATATTTATGAAGCGAGTTCTGGGGATCTAACATCCTCAGCATAGGTATAAGGTGATAATTGTAGATAAATGAGAGAGGAAATTGATGTAATAGGAAAATTGTCATATTACCCTAGGTTTAAAGATTACCAGGGTAAACTCAAGGTTATGACAAATTGTTTCTGCTCACATAAGCGGGGTTTTTATTTTCGAATAACCAAGGCTTCCATAAACCTCAAAATTCGTCCTTCAACATTTCTATACAATGTTTCGAAGGCTGTCTTGATGTCAATCTTATGCCCTGTCTCGATAATATGTTTTGCGATCGATGAACAAGGTTTTCTATTTCCCACGCTAATCGGCTCATCTGACGTTAACTGATTTTGAAGTCACTTAGAGGTACATGTTCCATAACCTTTGATTACAAAGTCCAATTACTCCTCCCTATTTATGTGTGTCCACACAAACATGTAAATTAATAAATGCAATGGGATGTGATGTAATCATTCGAGCAACGTTTAGGTCGATGTGAAATCATAGGTTTAATCTTTTCAATGATAATCAGTTTAGTAGCGCGTTGTATGTTTTCTCTATGTGTGACCATATTGTTCAAAATGTGTATAGCGCAACTACATCACAACATTTTTCAGATCAATTAGGTCTTCTCACTGTTCTACCAAAAATTAGTAGTGATTGTTGTAACCTGGAAATTTCCATGTTCCAATGAATTGCAGAACATTGGTAATGGAATTTCGTTGTTCATATCTCAGACTGACCTTAGTTAGGCGATCACTGAAAACCAGGAGACAGTGGACAGTTGTTTCATCCTAGTAGTATAGGACTCTTCAACAGTGAACACCCACTACCTAAGCTAAGAATCAAAACGGAAACCTCTGCGTCTTGTGTTATGAGTGTTTAACTTTCGAAGCATTGAATCCGTGTGCCATGGGTCACGTTTTTAAATTAAATCAATTCACGATATCGTACAAACATCTAATTATCATAATGGTATATGAGTACCTCATTCTGTCTATAACAGAACTCTACTGACCGCGAATATTCACTAGGATTCCAATTAATACCTGGTTACGAAGACCAATAGGATGTGGAAGGCACACAGGACAGTTTAAGAGTTTCATACTCGATCGAGATAGATGTCAAGCGTCTCCTACTATCAAATGCCTGTTTCAATTTGAGTTATGGAGATTATTGTTTTTACGAGTTGAAATTATCAATCAATCATTGTTAGACCACCATAAGGAACCTGGAAGCACTGAAAGACGGCTGTTTCGTCCTGGAATGGGACTACTTATCAGTGAGCATCCACGAATCTTGCACCTCAAGGGATCCGAACCCAGGACCGTCTGCCTTGCGTGCGAACGCCTCTGGACCACTCGGCCGGCATCAAACAATGTTAACGTCTAACTCTGTTCGCACGCACGATCGAAGGTCCTGGGTTAGAATACTGTGAGTGGCAGGAGTCGCGGATGAGCTCTGTTGCACAAAACGCCTGTCCAGTGCTTCCACGTTTCTAATAGTAGTCTAATAATGATTGATTGATGATTTCACCGTGTCCAATGGCCACCAAACTAAGATCAGTTCATGATGACAACTATATACCATACACACTAAATAATTCAACACATAATAAACTGATTAAATTTACCAACAAGCAATCTTTATTATCACTATTCATTTGAACAGTTTCATCCTCTGCTGCTGGTGTACGAACAATCAATTCTCTAATCCATGCTGAACATAATCTAGACAATGCATTCAACATGATTCCCATAATATCATTCATCATCAATTGAGGACAAAATCGGAACATGGATATATTTGATAGTCATGATAGCGAGTTTTCCTATCTTTACGAGTCCTTAATGTCTCGTCTAGTTTGATAGCATACAAACGACTATCTACTGGGATCCAGTCTAGGAGAGCTAGTTCTGCCCTACGACTCAATGCTATACGTACATCAGCAACAGGGATTCCAGATACACGAAGAGTAAATAGAGCTGGTTCTTTATTTTGACATGGTGAGGTCAGGTGAATGACGCTACTGGGATCCTGTATGCGCGTTTCCAAGACGCAGTATACTTTGATGGCGCGAGATTCTAAAGTCCTAGCTAGGGAAGCCTGTTGTCGTATCTGACACAATGTCCAGACATTAAAAGCTCTAGCATGCAATTTGGAACGGGGTTTCAGGAGACCAGGAGTAACGTTTAAGAAACTAGAGTCGTTTGCATTAGCAGTGCTAGGTGATGAAGGAATCTGAGAAGAGCTAGTCGTGGAGATAATGGAGATGTTAGGGGGTGTAGGAAGGGTGTGATTTTGACCAATTTGGTCTCGTGTGTTGTTACGGGCGGATGTCACTCCCTGGCTGCCCACACTGTGGAAGGGTGTTTCTCGAGGAACTTGAAAAGGAAGTTAGATTCAACCAACACAACCAGCTCAGAGAACGAAACACCACCACAATCATCCACCTGAGCTACAAGTTTTCTCCACCATCTCAAAATCATATGAGCGTGATACGCTTCACATTGTTCGAAAATGGGAGGATTTCGCCAAAAGGCAGGCTTCCACTCGAGAACAACTGTTTTTTCTCCACGAATGTCTTCGTCAGCATGTTCTGCCAACAAGTGTCAGATATAGACCACCAATCAACTGCCCAATGGGATGGCGAATAGCGGAGCAAAGTGGGAGACATATGGTACAATTAATGATTACCGACGCACACTACAGGATCCACAAATACCAGCACAGCATGGATGAACAAAAAGGAAAACTAGAAAGAATACTTACATCAGAACACTTAACAACGTTGACAACGGCGATTGAACTGTCAAGCAGACGACACAGAGAACAAAGAAGAAACATCCTCAAAGACAAACTAATCAAGATTTCAAAGCCAACCACAGAAGAAAACGCAAACAGTTGTGTGGTCAACCTGTCGAAGCAACATCTAACGACAACAGAAGTACAACTGCTCCAAAAAGGATTAAACTATAACACGAAGGACGCTTCAAAACTGGAATTCTTCGCGGCATTAGAGTCATCGCTCAAAACGGCAGGAATAAATGAAGAACACAACCAACACAACCAGCTCAGAGAACGAAACACCACCACAATCATCCACCTGAGCTACAAGTTTTCTCCACCATCTTAGATTCAAGTTGATCTTCAAGACCTGGGAGCGTGACCGCAGAGCCAAAAGTCCAACTGCTTGGAGCCAGTCATGCACGCCCTTTTTATGAGATGTTTTTTGAGTATTAGCTCCGCTCTTGAAAGCCCTTAGTGGGCACCCTTACCAACGGAGAGGTAGGTTGAGGTGTGACATTTTTAGAGTCGACCTTTTCTAACCCTTCCTACCTTGTGAGAAGGCAGCATCGCTGCAGATGCTGGTTATCCGAAGGAAACACCTTACTGCTGTCACACTTCTCTGTAGTCAGCAGTACGACTTCGCCCTGAGACCTTGAGTAGCTGCTTGTAGTCTCATCGTTCTCCAATCGACCTGCCTGGCATGGTAGAAACTTCAGGAACATATGTTCCAGCCAGTATAACTCGGTTGGGTCATCACGATAGGCAAGCATGACAACCATGTCAAGGTAGCATCTATGGTCGGGATAGTAGTCTAACAATGATTGATTGATGATTTCACCGTGTCTCATGGCTGCCAAACTAACATCAGTTCATGATGACAACTATATGCCATACACACTAAATAATTCTACACATAATAAACTGATTAAATTTACCAACAAACAATCTTTATTATCACTATTCGTTTGAGTAGTTTCATCCTCTGCTGCTGGTGTACGAACAATCAATTCTCTAATCCATGCTGAACATAATCTAGACAATGCATTCAACATGATTCCCATCAATTGAGGACAAGATCGAAACATGGATATATATGATAACCAATAGCCTAAACATGATTTCATATTGATCGGGAGAATTTTCTGTGGTCCCCTAGTTACTGCTGCTTCTGATGATGATGACGACGACAATTGATGTTGACCGATCGTTTCATCTTGATATAACAACAACAGCGCTAATCCAGTAATATCAATAATTCTATAAATAAAATCATAATCAACAGGATTGGCATCGGTGTTGTTTCTTTCCAACAACGACGTAACAATAGAATTATTGTTGACAGTTGTAGCGAATTGTATTAGTAATAATTGAAAATGTTGTCTTTTCATTGATTGATGATCATGATTAGTCTGTCCAGCAACAGCTGGATGTTGACATGCTTCTGCCAATAGACTAGATAGAATAGATTTCTCTTGTAAACATTTTTCATGTAAATTACGCCAAATTGATTTAGGCATTTCACGATGATGAGGACTGGTCACATGTTGTTGATAACGTAATAACAATAAATACAACAGATAGGCATAATGACTTGCCAAACGATCATGTTGTTGTTGGTGTTGTGGTTGGTGATGTAGTGCTTGACCACCGTACAATTTTAAACCATAATCAGTTAAACAAATCATTGGACGACAACCAGTCAGCAGAATGGTAAACAACGAATCAATATTGAACAAGTGTATGGATTGGATTGATTCACTTAACAAATTAATGATTACTTGTATACAGATAGACAAGCATAGAATTAGATTGGATTGAATGTCAACAGGAAGGCATTGCCAAAATATGGCAATTTGATTTCTTTGAAATAAACATAAAAATAATGCATCTAATAGGTTGATCAATGAAGTGTAGACATTGGTTCGACAATGATTAATGCCTTCAATAGAAAGGTCGTTATGATTATCACTGTTCGATGTAGTAAGCACGATTAGATCTGGAATAGTTGCTGCCCATTGTCTAAGTGATCGTAAACAGTTCAATAGTATGGTTAATTGATCATTGGAAAATACGGATGGAATATTATCACTTGAAACGTCATGGTTTTCATCTGCAACATCATCGTCATGGTTAGTAGAAGTAAGTTTACTCAAATCATTACGTAACAAACTAACAGCTGTGGAGTGGATTTGTTCAGATAATTGATAAACAATTGTCAATGAATTGTTTTCCTATTTCAAAAGTTTAGAAAGAACATAAATTTAATTTTCTTTTCAATTTGAGTTATGGAGATCAGTGTGTTTTCACACACTGAAATCAATCAATAATTGTTATACCACCATCATTAGACACCTGGAAGAACTGAAAGACGAATGTTTTGACCTTTGGTATGGGACTACTCATCAGTGACAGTGTGCACTCACGACTATTGCTACTACTCATAGGATTCGAACTCAGGACCTTCGGTCATGCGCGCGAATGCCTAACCTCTAGACCACTGAGCTGGTCAAAATCCAACGGTGTTAGTGTGTAACTCTGATTAATCTAGGGATTTTGCTCGACCTCATCCATTTGTCTTTGATAGTTACAAGCTACAACCGACAAGGTTGAACTTCACTGGTAAACTGATAACATAAATGTTTCAGATTCAATAACTACCAAACTTTCAAGATCTCACAGTGGACATGTAGTAAGTAGACACGGAAAAGTGAATCAACGGGTATGCATTGTTAAGTTGTTGTATTTCTTGATCACAATGGAAGTAAGTATAGTTTACAGAATGAGTGAGAATTTGATGAAATAAAAATCGTAATTCTAACAAATAGTCAGTCAGACAGTTGCAACCTAGAACTTCGCACGTATGTACATAAGTTCAGGTTGCTACACCACACTAACACAGAGACGTAAATATCAAATCAAATCCCATAGTGATAGAGACAGTAAAGATATTAATGATAAAGAAGAAGACTACGGTTTGAAGATATTATTCAAGAAGTATGATTCAGTGTGATAAGTTAAGAAAGTCAAAACTACAGGTGTTGAAGTATCCAGAAAATTAAGATTTGAGAGAACACAAAGAGTGGATGCACCTGCGCCATTGCAAACGATTCTTAGTCATGTCATTCAGGGTCTCTAATCATCGATGACTTACATCTCGCGGACCCCAACCAGGTAGTCTACATCTACCAACATGACTCAGTCCACTTGTCAGTGACTTCATGGATTTTTGCCATGTTTTGGTTTGGTCGCCCCTAGCCTTCTTCCAACCTACTCCTGCACCACAAAACAAAGCTCGTCCAGGCAGTCGATGGTTAGCCATACGTAACACATGTCCCAACCACTTCAACTGATGAAGCTTCACTACTTCATCTATTGATTTGCTATCCCTACTTAGTACTCATTTCCTAAAGACAGTATTGCTTACTCGGTTGTCCCATGATACGCGAGCAATGCTTAGAAGACAAACAATTAAAAGATAACTCATAGTTGATATTTAAAATTGAATTGCATCTTTGGTGAACTGTCTAAATATTGTCATTTCGTTAGACGTTTTTATAAAGCGATTCATAGTTAATTTAATCCTGAAGATTACGTACTTATTTATTAACGTCTGTTACCCCTCGTGAAGCACTGGTCACCGACCAGCATTCTCCAACCTAGCCTATCCAGGAGTAACTCCAAATGGGCGGCAGATGGGGTTATTTTGAACTTAAACAATAGGGTCATTTAAACCCTGATTAATAATGATAAAAACACTATACTTATGTAACAAGTTAGTAACCTTTTGAACTGAGTAGCTCAATCGATAAAAGGTTTGCTGTGAAAAGTACTGGACTCAAGAAAAAAAAATGAACACCAATCTTAGTGAGATTAGTTAGAACATCTAGTCAATGAGTACTATATATAGGATGAAAAATGTAGCCTGGATTCTTATAATCCATCTGTCATTCTAAAAAGAATGTGAAGATTGTTGAGTTTTATGAA